GGGGAAAGATTACATTAGAGAAAACACAAAAATACATGTTCCAAATAATTTGGAAAAGAAAGTAACTTTCTGCGACCAGCGATTGCCAAAATATTAGAACCCTATTATTTTTAACCTACTTTGCATTTAAAAAATGATGTTTGTTATGTATGCTAATGATCTACATCTTCATGTTTTTTTAAGCATAATTTACTACCGACTCAGACTCTGACTTTAAGGAAAAGGCACATTGTAAATGCCTGTACCAGTACCAGTACCTGATGCTATCATGGTTCATTTCAGCGCATGTCGTTGTGAAAGTTTCATTTCATTTTATTTATTGTGTCATTTGATATAAAATACAATATTTAAAAAAAAACAAAACACAAAGCAAGACAATTAAAAAAGTTTTCAGAAGGTGGCCGGATTGCCAATAGCAAAGTTAATCACTTTCGTTTGTGTGGTTCTCCAAGTCTCATCCAAAAAATAAAATACAAATATTATGTGTTTATTAAATTAAATTCATATAATAAATTACCATACACATTTTTTAAACAATTAAATTTAAGACATTCAATTATAAAGCTCCTCTCCACGGCTGTTAAAAATAGTCACGGACCACTTTCTCCTTCTTTTTCTCTCTTTTTTTTTTTAAATATTTAGTATCCGAATTTATATGGCGTCTTACACATTCTGGAATATACAAAGACGTGACGCTGGCATCAGTATTTCCCTGGTCACTGGATACTTAGTTGGCAAACCAGCGCATTTTTGTGCAATTTTCTCTGCTTCCTGGGAAGTATCTCAAGTCATCCTGCTTTGCATGCACAACCTAATACGTTCAATGCCACACCATCCTACCAGGTACCCATTTATGCTCCTGGGTTGAGAGAGGCAAACGTAAGCAAAGTGCATTGCCCAAGGACACAAGAAATGCGACGAGCTTCGTTCTCAAACACTCGATCTCACGATCAGAAGTCCAACACCTAACACGCATGCCCACACGCTTCACACCCTCGCACGCAATTCAACACAATGACGCTTCTGGATATGGATTATCCTCCTAAACTATTACGAGAATTATCATAAACAAACATATTAAATACTTGGAATCAGTATCAGCGTAGAGCTACCTGCATAATATTAGGGAAACAGTGGCAGATCCAAGAATTTGAAATAGAGGTTATCCAAAGAGAAACTTTCACAGATGGAGGGTCTATACTACCTCAGCCCCACCATAGTTGGGGGCTAAGGTAAGACAATTTATGATTATGGCACCTCTAAATAGCCGGAAATAGCACTTTTAGACTCCAAATTTGAGTAGAATTTTCTTTTTTTCTTAATATTATTTCAATTTGCAAAGAATATTTAGATTAATCTTATAATTGTAGAAGAATATCTGCTAAAAGTAGTCACGGAACACGCCCGGCACGCAGTCTCAATGACGCTGCTAGATATGTGTTATTCTCCTAACCTATTGCGAGAATAACCGTAATCTTGTAAATTATTGTGATTGTTACATGAAAATGCTTTTAATCGCGGCGATCCTTGTTACAACTTACAAGCTTTTACGTCATTTGGAAAAAAAAATGTTATGGATTGAGTATCATTCTACCTTAAGTCTTTTCTGTATATAAACTGGCTACGTTATCGCTACGTTCACTAGTCTTACTCACGTTTGTTCATTGATAGCTGTAACAGTAGAATTGAGCTCTTCCCTTTTCTTAAAAAGATCGTGAAAATAATTAATCAATTCAATAATCTGTTCATCTGAAAGGTGTATTGGCGGCTCAGCTGTATTATAAACTCTTTCCTGCAGCTCTTGATACGACAATAAATCCAGTTCCTGAGAGAGATTGAACAGCGCATTTGTCTGTTGCTGAGTCAGTGTGGGCTCGCTTACCGTTGTGTTTTGGCAAGGAAGGCAGTCAGTTGTGCTCCAACAGGCTACACTCTCCTGAACCAATAAATACACCACGACAATACTTAACAGCATATTGTGTGACTGGTTACCATTGACTAGTTTAGAGTAAAGATGGTACAACCAGGAAGGAAAAACTAACGTACGTACCTTTGATGAACCGTCTTTATGATACACATCCTTGGCCTCAGTTACATCAGCATAGTTTGACTATATTTTATAATGAAAGCCAAATCAAGTTATTTAATGTTATGGAGAAATCTAGTATTAATCTCAGTCACAAACAGAGTGACTCGTATACTGTACTGTACCTTTAACTTCAGATATTTTTGAAAGCATTTTTTTAAATGCTATACAGACACTTAATTCTGTAATATCTGTATCAGCCATATGTTAGCCCCTATCTTTTAATGGAATGATCTTTTTATGAGCACAGTAACTGTTAAGAAATAGAAAAATTTATTAGATTATCACTCCCCCGCCCGCATAAAAAATTCGGGAAATATTGATGCCGGAATAAAAAAAAATCAATTATTTCAACAGCATAAAATAACAATGCAATTTTATGACTTCAAATACATTTTCTTAAAAAAACTATAAAATAAAACCAGTTTTTATACAATATTTACTATTACAGGCTTGGGTAAAGGCCAAATATAAACAGTCCCTCCCTCATCGATAAAAACAAAAGCGAAATAATTTATTGTAACGATTAAAAAATTAAAAAAAACTCACTCCCTCATCAATTTTTAAAAAAAAGAGTGAAAATCTAATAATTCTTTCTATGTGCCCTAGTATAATGGACGATGCTTTTGGCAAGGTGTGTCGCTTGGTTCTCACATCCGCATTGTACAATTTTCAGGAAGTATCTGGTAGAGGTTGAATCTTCCAAGCTGTGAATAAAAAAATATAATATCACAATTAAATTCTAACCAGCAGCGCAAATGACGTTCTAACCAAGGTTCTGATATGAGTTGTTAAGTAGGCCTGAACTTATGGTAACGCAAAGAGGAAGTATTAGGGGAATGGCTAAGTTACACAGTTAGGCCTGTCACGCCAAAATTGGTCCGGGCCAAAAATGGTCCGGTGGACAGATTTTGGCCGCCAAAGTCGGTCTGCCGGACTACTTTTGGCCGTTTAAATCGGTCCTCCTTTGATAAAATTGGTCCCCCTTGGATAAAATTGGTCCGTCGGCTTGGCCACTCGCATCTGCTGCCCGTAGGATATGATTGTTTCTTCCATGAAGTGGAGGGATAATTATGCTTCTCCCACACTTGAAAAATCTTTTACAGTGACAGAATGATTCGTATTTAGCTTTTGTGGATCCCGTTGTGGACGTATTTTATCAAAAACATATTATTCCTAGGCCTAGGCGACACACATCGGCATTTTCGGTGGCCGTGCTTGGCATATATGTTTTTTTAGCCTAAAATGAAACACAAGTTTGATTTATTAGCTTTAACTATTCCATATTATTGTGTGTGGTATTATGTGTTACAATAGTTGTTTTATTACGCCTACATGAAAATAAATAGGGGTCAATAATTTTTCTTTTAATGATTGCTCATTATTCTACCATTTCGTAGCGGCGTTAACTAAGCACACAACCAAAACAGAACAAGGTAAAAAATTCAACTAAGCGGACCAACACGATTTACGATGATATCGTTTAAGTTCTTTTCTAACTTTTACACCTAAGAGTTTACTGGAAGCGAAGAGCGAAAATAATATACTAATTTTTGTGGCTGTAAACTCAATTGCATACACAACGAATGAAAAAATATAACATAATATGAGATGAGATATCTATCATTTGGTTAAAAACAAATTTGAACAACGCTAAAAAAAATACTAAATAGATGCCGGACCGATTTTGGCTTATGTGGACTAGGACCTACATTTGGCAGGTAATTTTAAAGCCAAAATCGGCCCCGGACCAAATTTTTCCTGGCAGGCCTATTAGTGTTTGTTTTAATTTTTATAATTTTGTTTGTTGTATTTTTGATTGTTTGTTTGTTTGCTTTTTGTTTTTTGATTTTTTTTTTGGTTTTTTTTTTTTTGTAGGTCCTAGTTTTTTAATAGTTTACTATATTTTATTATTTTTACTGTTTAAACAACACATTTGTATTATTTTCACATTTGACATTCTTTTAAAGAAAATAGCAATAGTTAGTAGGCCGAGGACGATAGCCAAATGACCTCTGTCTCTTATACACATCTTGCCCACACGCTTCACACCCTCGCACGCAATTCAACACAATGACGCTTCTGTGTGTGTGTGTGTGTGTGCATGTGTGTTTAAAATGAGGACTAAATTAATAAAGAGCATAACACTGTGTAAATATTAGACAAATGTAGGGGACCAATCCTCTTGGAACAGCTGTCCCGTACTGCAATAAGGTACAACCTCTTACCTACTAAACAATATACAGACTATAAAAGTGTAAATAAAAATGGAATTGCCCTCCCTTATAAATCCTGACTACTTATTAGAGGCCCACAATAGTTTATTTAATGGAACTCAACCCCGGTGGTTAGTGTGGAAGGACTATGATAATACATTATGAAAACTCGTTCTATCTCTAACAATCGTAACGTGGCTAATATGCCTACTCACTTTGGTTCATCATCATCAGAAGGCTCCTCCAGTTTTGTAAACCACCAATGATAAAAATTCAGATAATCATTTGCTGATATGACAGTTGTATTGGCGGCTCTGTCGTAGAGTATATTCTGTCGTGAAGATCTTGATATGACAACGAATCTTCTTTTGAGAGATCTAACAGTTTGTCTCTCTGATTCCTTGTCAATGAAGGCACCGTTTGTACATATACATAGCTTGTACGCTAGTGTGATACCATGGAAGAAGTAACTACCGTTGTGTGTTGGTGCTTTTGGCTACTGTGAACATTAATACCTATGTTATGAATCCTTTTGAATTAAAGGAAGGATAGCTTTTACTTTTCATGTTTCTATACTTTATCATAACCTGGTGATTAGCACTCTATAATCTATTAAATTAGTCCTCTAATCCGATATAAAGGCCGTAGATTCTGGGGATGGGGGAACCAGGGATCTTCCCTAGATCCTGCTGGGGCTCTATGCGGTCCCAGACCCCCACCTAATAGGCGCGGGCAGCGAATATGTCCAGGGGCCTGCGGCGGCTCTCGGCGGCCCTGGCCTGTCCATGTAGGGGAATAGGCGTTTGTCGGCTCCATTGTGGTGGGTGTAACAATCGTAATCACTATACTGGAACTGTCTCTTATACACATCTAGATGTGTATAAGAGACAGGAGTTGTTAAGTAGGCCTGAGTAATTTTAAAGCCAAAATCGGCCCCGGACCAAATTTTTCCTGGCAGGCCTATTAGTGTTTGTTTTAATTTTTATAATTTTGTTTATTGTATTTTTGATTGTTTGTTTGTTTGCTTTTTGTTTTTTGATTTTTTTTTTGGTTTTTTTTTTTTTGTAGGTCCTAGTTTTTTAATAGTTTACTATATTTTATTATTTTTACTGTTTAAACAACACATTTGTATTATTTTCACATTTGACATTCTTTTAAAGAAAATAGCAATAGTTAGTAGGCCGAGGACGATAGCCAAATGACCTTGAAACTGGAATCCAATGAGGGTAACGACCTGACACTTCGCGTGTGTGTGTTTGGGGGGGGGGATGGGTGTGTGTGTGCATGTGTGTTTAAAATGAGGACTAAATTAATAAAGAGCATAACACTGTGTAAATATTAGACAAATGTGTGGGACCAATCCTCTTGGAACAGCTGTCCCGTACTGCAATAAGGTACAACCTCTTACCTACTAAACAATATACAGACTATAAAAGTGTAAATAAAAATGGAATTGCCCTCCTTATAAATCCTGACTACTTATTAGAGGCCCACAATAGTTTTTTTAATGGAACTCAACCCCGGTGGTTAGTGTGGAAGGACTATGTAATACATTATGAAAACTCGTTCTATCTCTAACAATCGTAACGTGGCTAATATGCCTACTCACTTTGGTTCATCATCATTAGAAGGCTCCTCAAGTTTTGTAAACCACCCATGATAAAAATTCAGATAATCATTTGCTGATATGACAGTTGTATTGGCGGCTCTGTCGTAGAGTATATTCTGTCGTGAAGATCTTGATATGACAACGAATCTTCTTTTGAGAGATCTAACAGAGATCTATGTTATGAATCCTTTTGAATTAAAGGAAGGATAGCTTTTACTTTTCATGTTTCTATACTTTATCATAACCTGGTGATTAGCACTCTATAATCTATTAAATTAGTCCTCTAATCCGATATAAAGGCCGTAGATTCTGGGGATGGGGGAACCAGGGATCTTCCCTAGATCCTGCTGGGGCTCTATGCGGTCCCAGACCCCCACCTAATAGGCGCGGGCAGCGAATATGTCCAGGGGCCTGCGGCGGCTCTCGGCGGCCCTGGCCTGTCCATGTAGGGGAATAGGCGTTTGTCGGCTCCATTGTGGTGGGTGTAACAATCGTAATCACTATACTGGAACACTTCGATACCTTGATGATACCTTGAAATGTTATCACTCTAATGTATAAAGGGAATGAATTGGACTTGTACTTAAGTTTACCAGATACCAGTAAAACCACATGGGTGCCAGGCTAAAGTATGGACAAAATTACGATTATAATGGCGTTGTGAAAAGGGCTCTCTGAAGCGGTCACTGAAAAGCAAAATGTACAACGCCTTTTTCTTGTACTGTAAACTTACAATTCTTCCGCATCAGTATTCCACACTCTAATGAAAAGAAATAAAAATAACTGTGTGCAATTTTCAATTATACTTAGGCCTATATTAAATTAAAGATTAAATGTACGTAAAATCCCCTGTTAAATTAAAACAATTTAACGATATTAAACTGAAAACATCCAAGTGATCGACATAACAGCAAAACACAAATAATAATAACAACTCCAATCTTTAATATCGTATTCCGCAGAAAAAAAGCCTCAATGCGCTACAACAAAAAGAACAAGCAGTAAATAGTTTTGACTTGAACTACGGCAGTTAAACTTTTAATACATTGTAGGCCTATGAAAAACACAAAACTCATGCGAGTAAAAGCTTTTTTTTTTTAATGCTAACAACATTATGAAACAGTAAAGAGACTGCATCCTTAGTAGATCTTTTCTGCCTCCCTGTATGCAATTTGTTATATATATACTGTATATATATTATTATTATATTATTATTTATTTATTTAAAATTTTACAGCTCCATGCTATTAAGTTATAGGTAAGCTGAACAGTAGCGTAACTGTATTTCAGCTTCATAAAACTTAAGGTCCACGTTCTGGTTCTTTTTCTTAATATAAGTCACGACCGCTCTGGCTGTGTAGTAGAATAAATAATGATCACATTGACAATTTAGGCTTGGAAAACATGCTCCTTGTTCACAGAAATATTCTTCGAATTGCTGTTCGAGATCGAATCTTGTAAGCTGTGGAATATAAAGAAATAATAATAATAATAATAATAATAATAATAATAATAATAATAGTAATAATTAATAATAATAATAATCTAATCAAATCCAATGAGAACATTTGTAATAATAATAATAATAATAATAATAATAATAATAATAATAATAATAATAATAATTGATAATTAATAATAAACACACACAACACAATCATAATCATAATAATCATTATCACTCTTTAAATGCAAAAGAGTGCCTACAGGGACAACTCCTGTTGGAGTGAAATAGAAAGAGTGAGATTTCTCACTATTCAGAGTGAATTTTAGTAATTTTTCACTATTTTAAGAATAATATCCACTCCTTTAAGAGTGAATTTTCACTCGAGAAAAGTGTGAAATTGGAGTGGTTCTTGTAGGTACTCTTTGAAAAGTGAAAAGTCACTCTGTCACATCAAGAGAGCATTATTAAAAATACCATTAGCAACGTACTTGCGGAACATATACCATATTGCCACGTTTGTCTAACGCTAGGTGTAATGTGGTGTAGTCGGCTCTCGTCGAACACACACTTACAATGGGTGATCGTTTTCCGCGACTGAAAAAACATACAAAAGCAAACTTTTACATAATACGACATACTTCTTTTCATAATGACTGTTTTTTGTGACGAGGATAGGTAGTTAAACTGCTAAGACCACTGCATCGAGCCGGATGAAAGGCCATTAACCTTCATTTTATACACTATCGGCATTTTATTTTTAATACATGTCTCCCTCCAATTAAAGACCATTTTTGGAACAGGAATTTGCATGGTTCTTAGCATTTTGTTAATATGGGACCACAGAAAAGTGGTCCTTATTTGGAGGCGGTATTTAATTGTAGGGGTCGTCAGTTAAAGGTATTAGACCTGTACTGAATAATGCCAATTTTAACAATAGAACGTTTATTTACTCATCACTATAATTGAACTCTCCATTTTGGTTATTCTTATTTAAAATTCTTCATTTATTTATTATTTCTATTATTAATATTATTATTATTATTATTATTATTATTATTATTATTATTATTATTATTATTATTCATATAATCCAATTTAAAAGAGACCCCTGTGTTTTTTTTAGTATTATTATAAAGCATTTCATATAGAACACCGAGGCTGGAATTGCTTAAAAATTAAGAACAAATTGTTACTGAAGAATCATGAGTTTTTTTTTTTTTTTTTTTTTTTTTTTTTAAGAAAACCAACACATCTTATTGTATCTTATTGACAGGTGTGACTATGAAATGCCCTCTGTAATATAGTACCGTACAGTAATATACTGCTGTACAATAATTATTTTCTATGTTTGGAAAATGTTAAAATAAGAACAAAATATGAACATTTTGAGCCTAACATCGGCATCATTTTAGTTGTTCTTATAAAAAAAGTGTATGTATACTTAACAAACTTTTTAACACTATTATGTTTGCCAAACAAGAAATGGTGTAAGATTTAGTGGTACAAAGACGAAAATGGAGGAATATTCCTCGCCAAGAACTACATATGGACTGGTGAAGTGGATGGTGTCTTTCATTTTGTTTTGAAATGTCTATTGTATAATCAAGAAAGAAATCGTTTCAATCCAAATTATGTCCCAAATCTGTTCTTTTTGGTTATAATGCATTACTAAATTCCTAATACGGTGGAATCATTATCAAATTTGATTATTTGTGCGTTCAAAAACGATTAGTTCATTTGGCCATAGAGAAAATAGAACATTTCTATTGTTCTATTTTCTCTATGATTTGGCATAATATTCCTTTTTGTGTTTTAAGGCCATTGGCCTATACTGAATAAAGTCTCTTTTAGAGAGAATTGAATAAAGAAAAAAATTATAAAAGCTTATAAATTACATTTCATCAATAGTTTGGTTACTGGCTACCTTGACTAATAAGACGGTTGGACAGTTCAAAACAATATACAGTATACACATTTAGAATGTTAATAAAATTATATCATTAAATCATGACTACATTAACAGGCCAAAAACTTGATAAAATTACTTGAGTATGGCATACACTCATGTAGACGTATTCTGATTATTTCATGCCCCGCGATTTGGGAGCGGTGACATGAATATTGTGTGGGTCTAATCCTGGCTAGTAAATCTTATAAAACCTGATACTACTTACTTGCTATCGGTACTATTACAATGCACAGGTTCTGAGTCCAATGGTTCTTTAATGACACTAGGATTTGGTTTCCGAAAATTGCCTGGATAGTAGTCTCTGAGGGCCTTCATTTGGTCGTCTGACAGTTGTATTGGTGGTTCTGTGATATTATAGATTTTCTTCTTCGCCTCTTCGCATGACAATGAAGCGAAGCTCTGAGAGAGCATGAACAACGTATCTGCCTGTTCGGTTGTCAGTAACGGGGGTGGCAAAGCAGTCGCGTTTATTGTGTTGTTGGAGCAGGCACACTCTGATCGAACAGAAACGGTTACAGTAGGTGAAGTGGACACTGATGGAGAGTCGGGCCCAGTGTATGTAACGGACACAGTAGGAGAGTCGGATACTGATTCGGACACAGCACAGTCAGACACCGGACATGTAGAAATAGGGCAGTCAGAAACAGGACATTCGGAAACCGGAGGGCAGTCGAACACAGAGCAGTCGTTTGAGCTCCAACAGGCCAAACTCCCTTGAATTATTCCACACAGCATTAAAATACCGAACAACATGTTACAAATAAAGGTTATCGTAGGCCTACTGTACGTAAATTTAACATAAAATGGTATGTTAAATATTACTTCTTATCTGTCATTTGTAAATCTTCTAATAAAATCGTATTTAGTTTTCCTTCAGTTTTATGGTAGCCTGAGGGAGTTTCCCTTCAGTGATTGATCCGTTGGTGCTCCGTGTTGGCGTCAGCCCCCTGGCTTATCTTTTATTGTATATCCGGAAGGCTTAAAGTAAGGTGTAGAACAAAAAACGATATTTTTGACTGTTAGTTTAATTCTATTGTTGTAGATAGGTATTCAATCCATTCCATCCCATAATCACAATTATAACTTGCTCAGTTTGTGCAGCTAACCGCACAGAGGTTAAGCTTGATTGAACAGTTTAATAGGCCGCACCATTGACTCACAAACATACATACAAACACGCAATCAGTCGACTGTAGTGTGAATCATTTTAAACTACAGACGCGTGCGCTTACGTTAAACTATTGAACAATACGCTAAAATGTATAAACACCACAGAAACAGAAAAGTGAATTATTACTGCAGAAAAGATGAGTGAATGAGAGCATTATGTACCAGTGTGGGTGACGTAAAAAAGAAACCACAAGAAACGGTTATGTAGGCCCTACCCATCAACATTGTAGAGGTACACCTTCAAATATACAGAGGCTCTGACGTATATTGCCTGAACAAATGACATTTAATGTGAGAACAAAATTATTTCATTAATGACATTAAGTTAAAACACATTGAAAATCTATCACTATTACAGTTCTATACAAAAATGTTATTAGTATTTAGTTAGTATTCACACTGATCTACAAAAGCATGCTCTGCTGAAAGTTTTGTCTACGCAATGAATCTACAAATAAAAGTTTGGAAATCAAATTCAAACTCTATCAATAACTTAAAAGTAAATAAATAAACACCTACTGAAAATTCAATAACTTACAATTCAAACACCAACAAAGGTTTTAATTTAATTATTATATTAAATTTATCAACATTGTATTATAGCCTACGTGTATAATCAAGCATTAGAACTATATATAAAATATATCTCATTCAAGACAACATGTTCGATTTTTTTTTTTTGAAGCCTTAATCATTACAGAAAAGGAGATAGGCGGGATTAAGGTGCACCCCTTGAATATTTTTCAAATTATTTATGGTAATACTGTATCGGTAAAAATCTACTTAACTGTAATCTCATTTTTGAATTAAGATTCTTGATCAGAAAAACGGATTGAACAAATTGGGGGAAAAATTATATTAAAATTTAAGTCTGAAATTTCCATTTCCGGCCATCTAGAGGTGCATTGCCATTACATTATGTACCTCAAGATCAAACCATGGTAACTCTGGGTGGTATAGACCCTCCATCTGTGAAAATATCGTAATACCTCGAATTGAAGCCCTGGGCTTCTTCAAGATGGTCTTCTTTTCTAGGCTACTTGTTCTAAGTAAAGAGGGGGGCTTCTTTTCAAAATGAGTGCTGTATATTATGTGAATTTATACTATAGAACAATAAATACGGCCACTGTAACATCAATCTGTATCATGGAGTGTATTTAACTGATATTAAATCACTTAAACTACTGTATAAACTAAGCTTGTTTTTTGAAATTCAACGGTATAGTGTGTAGGCCTATACTGAACTATCTCGAAAAGAAGCCTATGCTGCCTTGAAACGAAGCCCATACTACCTTGAAAAGAAGCCCATGGGCTTCTTTTCGAGGCTAATTTTGCAAACTAAAGAGGGGGCTTCAATTCGAGATGGGGGGGGGGGTTCATCTCGAAATTACCTTACTATGGTTTAGGTAAACAGACGAAGCGTAATTTTAATACTTTTGGTCAATTGTGTTAGTCCTCCATCTGCTGCAAAGTTTTTTAACATTTCGATTTGAAAAACAACTTGTTCAAGCCTGCCCGAGAGCAGCTGCAGTAGCCAGGCCTGCATTGGCCTATGGTCTAGCCTAAAAATCGGGTAGGAAGTTGCTTGAAAAATCGGGATAAACCCACCAACAAACTCGGGAGCTCTATCTAACATATAGACCTAAACTAAAAAACATAATTGTAGTTTTCTGTCATGTTAAAAAAAAAATGGAAGTTGTAAAATCGCAAAAATACAAGGCCGCGGAATATTTCAATTTGTAAAATCGCGAGAATGAAGGGCCGCGAAAATAAAGGGCACAGATTTTGGTGTGACATTCGGCTGACTTTTTTCTTGTGGTTCTTGCTTGTTTGTAGTATCATAGTCTACGACTTGTAGTAATATAAGAATAATAATTCCACATGTGTCTTAATTAGAGATCTCTCTATTCACATTCTTTCAGTGAATGCAGACTTAACTTTAGCAATCATTTTCATTATCACTCCCAGGGCCGAAAACACAGACAAAAATAGATAATACTCATAATATACTTTATAATAAAATGATTTATTCAAACTTGGTTTACACTTAGTTATTTATACAAATTGTGAATCCTAATATGTTTACTATTTCATTTTTTTTATAAAATTTAATTAATGATATTAATAAATAATTAAAAAAAAAACTATTTTCATTAATAATGTTCACCAATCCACCACAGGACAAGACTGAGATAATATAATTGACCTATATGATATTACGGCATTGGCTAAAACATTATTTGTTAAAAGATATGTAAATATATTAACGTAATTTGTCATTTCTATTTTTTGTAAAAAGTAAGTATAATAGATTTCAACCTTACGTAAACGATGACGAATACGAATACGTCATTATCATTATCGTCATAATTCGTGCCTCAAACATTCTTAACAATATGCTGTGCGAGCTGCATATGATCCTTGATTCATGCAAAAAAAAATGAATCGCCTGCGTTGTGACAGATATGTAACTGTAGGGGAATGGTTGTATACAAATTTGATGACGTATCCGTATCCGTATTCGCTTGCGAAAACTCCTTATTATCTATATATACCAAACTACTGTGTGTTCTAACTACATTCTACCGCAGCCATTGATTGAACTACGCTAATTGTAATAATAATAATAAATGTGCTTACAAAAACGATAACGAATACAGTTACGTCATCATTTTTTAGTCAATCAATTCTAACAGTAACATATCTGCACAACGTAGAAGATTCATGACTTTTAAATGAATCAACGATCATATTCAGGTCGTGTATGTATTGCTAAGAATGATTTAGGTACGAATGACGATAATGAATGTGACGTATTCTTATTCGTCATCGTTTTCGTAAAGTTCCGAAATCTCCCTAATACTGTTAACTTATTAGTTATCAAGGCTTGTCTAAAACTTAAACTTGGTATTTGATGAAATATGAGTATCCAAATAATAATAGTTTTCATTTCTACTCTCTCAGAAGTACAATAAAATTGGTTGACAGAAACACGTTCTCAAATATACCACAAGTACTTTGTGTTTGACAACAATATATCTAAATATATTAGAAAATAATTTTAATTTTTACATCAGATTGAAGTGCAATATCAAAATATGGTCAAGCAGCTGTTATTTATTATTGATTGAACTAAGCTAATTGATGTAATACTATTAAAAGTGTTTTTCGACGTCGACGATGTAAAAAAGTATACCTACAGTCTAAAAATCTACCTTTGTAACTGGCGTCGTTTTGGCGTTAGCGTTTAAATACAGATTAAAGATGTATTGTCCCATGCAAAATACAAAAAAAGTCATAAAAATTGTTGAAATTAACTTGCCCTTTTTGAAATAACATGAAAATTATCAACTTGAACATAGAAATTAGTGTATCCATAATTTTACAGCGATAAACGATACAAACACTTCCAGTCACTGGAAGTGTTTTATTACTTTTATTATGTAGTTTTCCAGTTTAAAATTCAGGGTACACATTTTTTAACTTTAATAATTCCTGTGCTCACATGAATCATTTGTATGTTACTGCAGAATGAGCAAGTTAATTTCAAAATTATATTTTTATAATTTTTTCGCATTTTCAATGGACAATACATCTTTAATGTCTCTAGTGTGAACACCAGTAGCAATACTAATTTATTTTTTACTAGTACAGTATGTAAGCCGAACATGATTGCAGCTGTATTTCAGATTCGTAAAACTTTGGATCTCTTCTCTTAATATAAGCGACCACAGATTTGGCAGTGTGGGACAATTGATTCTGACACTGGCATTGCAAGTTTGAACTACATGTATCTTCTGAACACAACTCTTCAGTGAATTCCTGAACGAGGTTAAACAGTCCGAGCTACAGAATAAAAATAAAACAATGTGTTAGAAGGTACTGCTATGCGCGCTATATTGATAATAATAATAACAATAATAATAATAATAATAATAATAATAATAATAATAATAATAATAATAATAATAATAACAACAACAACAACAACAACAACAACAACAACAACAACAATAATAATAATAATAATAATAATAATAATAATAATAATAATAATAATAATAATAATTATTATTATTATTATTATTATTATTATTATTATTATTATTATATATGAATACTTATTGATAACGTACTTGTGGAACTAAAACGGTTTCGCCATGTTTATCCAACGCCAGATGAATTATTCTGTAATCACTGATAGCAGAGCACACCCTGACTTTCCCATTAGATTGTCTTCTCTTCCTTTTTGTTAAAGGTGAAAGAGCTCTAGAAAAAAAAAAAAAAAAAAAAAAAAAAAAAAAAAGTTAGTTAGCGATGTACTCATGGTTATTTTATAACTGTGTATACATTTTTATATATATGCTAATCCACAAATATGAACTGAACTATTCAGGAAATAGTTCCGTTGGCTGTCAAAAGAAAAAAAACAAAAACAAAAACAAAATACGACCAACGTGTACATTGACCTCAGATCGCTGATAGTAAATAATGTTGGCAGTACTGTCTCAGTGACTATATGTCGACAAATAATGAAAGGTTGAGAGCAACAGTAGCTGAAGGTGCTTAGTATCACGGATCGAATGCGACCCTTTAATATTTTTACCTATTTTTTCTATATCGAAAATTACCACATGAATGCTTAAATCTGTTGAATAATTATGCTGACAATATTTTGGAATTGTATGTTCTGGGTAATGTAAATTAGCAGGTATACGACGAGCGTTTCCGCGGGGAGAGGCAGGGCAACCAATTAAAATCGGAGGTACTGATGAACCCCGCGATGAAAATAGGTTCCGTAGAAAATGTTCAGGCAAACATTTTATCGTTACCTGCTGGTACCAGCAGGTACGCACACCTCTGCGCAGTCTAAAGGTGGTATAGAGTGATTGATACTTACTAGCTACTGTCGCACTGCAATTATTATTGTTTATAAATGTGTTAACATGTCCTAAACACAACAATTCTGTGCATAAAGCTTGATTTCCATAAAATCGCTACACAGTCACTACAGCGTTTTTTTTCACTGCACAATCCTTACACTGCGTAACTAGCTGTCCCGACGAATCGGGAACGCTCCTTGATTCAACGGACCTATCAGCGTCGCCAAAGAAATCAGCGATAGCGTGTAGCGATTTTTTATGAAAACCAGGCTTAATACAACAACAAAATAATAGAAAACTTCATTTTCATTCAACTCAAAATAATTATACAAAAAGTTGTTGCTACTTACCCTTCATCGCACTGAAAAATGCTTCCAGATGTTTCATTAACAGGTTCTTTAAAACTTTGGGGAAACGAGCTCAGAAGTACAATCATTTGATAATCTGATAGTTGTATTGGAGGCTCAGATGTATTATAGACTCTGTTCTGCAGCTCTTGACATGTCAAATTATCGAGTTCCTGAGAGAGCATGTACAGATCATCTACTTGTTCATTTGTCAGTATAGGTGGTGATGGTGCATTCCAACAGGCCACACTCTGTTGAATCGTTACATACATCATCAACACACTGAGTAACATGATTGTCAAATTTATTATCTGCAGTCGAAATAAAATAAATGGTCTACATCAAGACCCTTCTGAGGCCCTTTTTATCGTCTAGAACCGGATGTACTGTAACAACTCGTATGTCATTTTAGTGATGCCATCATTTATAATTAGTTTGCTGTTTGTGAGAAAAGGGTGTCAACCCATCTGCGATTGGGCTATGTTTTATTACGTTTGCCACCCATATTTTGTTGTTGAGTCAAAGTTCAATCCCAGTGTTGAGTTACCTACAGCAGCAATTTGATCAGTTTTCACCTTGTACTTGCACATTTTTATTAATTCAAGTGTTCAGTATATTATGTTTTTATAGAATTAGAAAGTTTATGCATACAAACTCTGAGAATTCGCCTTACATAAAGTTGGTATATCCATGAGCTTCTTTATTATCGTCATTTTTGATAAATGACAAGTTCACTCAGATGGTTGTTTTCGTGTATTTCACCTAATGAGTTGTGAATCGTGACTGTTAATGCTAAGAGGTTTTCTGTCGAGAAGTGAATATTTGTTATATGGACGATTCTCTCTATTTATCATGTTTTTTTTATTCATAACCTATCCCTCTAATAATAAAATACATGTTCATAGCACATCATCTGAAAACAGCACTTTTCGGCTGCTGGTTCATGACCTATTTTAAGAACATGTAGGCCTATTGTAGTAGCCCTAGGTGATTGTTTGCCTGGTACTGCCAAATTAATTACAGAGGGGAATTCCAATTGCTAAATACTCATTTGTTCTATGGAGGTATGCTTGTTCCGATAGTATGGTTGATGGGATCGATTGTTAGATACTCAGATAGGCATACAATATTGCAATATGTTTCTGACATAGACAATGACGTCATCAATTATAATTTGTTTGCTGTTTTGGAAAACTTCGTGTAAACAAACATCGTATCGCGACTATAAAGGTTTTGGAGGGGAATTCCAATTGCTAAATACTCATTTGTTCTATGGAGGTATGCTTGTTCCGATAGTATGGTTGATGGGATTGATTGTTAGATACTCAGATAGGCATACAATATTGCAATATGTTTCTGACATAGACAATGACGTCATCAATTATAATTTGTTTGCTGTTTTGGAAAACTTCGTGTAAACAAACATCGTATCGCGACTATAAAGGTTTTGGTTTTCTTTATCCGATTGGTCGTGAGTTTGGGAATGACGCTGTTCAAACTGCATGAAGCATAAAACCCAGTAGACAGTAAAGTGGTTGTCTTGTAGGTATAAATAATTTAGAATGAAATAGTGTGTTGATTTAGTTGTGTATGACTAAATTTAAAGCATGTACAAACATATCAAATTGTTTTTAAACATTCAGATAAAAATTATAGTGTAAAACTGCTGACACTACACTTAGAATGCAATTAATTTGTAAAATAAAAACTATAGATATAGATACAAACAAAACTAGAAAGATCTGTTTCAACGAACATATTGGCGACTACAAGGACAAGAAAAATATGTATCAACAAAGAGGCAATCTAAACGCTAATTTTTGAGTATGGATTGAATTTAATCATAAATGTTTTAAACTAACAAACAAAAACCCTTGTTCCACTTTCTAAATAATGATGCATTTTAAAATTATTATCATATAAACAATGTCAAAATACTCACAGGCCTATTCAAAATTGGTTACCATTTTGTAATCCATCCAAATATTATATTATTATTTCATATTTCTTTAAATCTAATTGTCAAAGTGAAATACAGTACCACTTAAACTGTACCCATTATGAAATACATGTTCATAGCACATAATTCATTAAAAAAAAAAAAAAAATACGTTTAAGCTGCTGGTTCATGAATCATTAAAGAACGTCAGCCTCTAGGTAAAACAGGGGATTTTTTTTGCCCAGTTACTGCCAAATATATTACAGAGGGGAATTCCCATTGTTAAATGTAAACGATTGTCATTCATGGTTGATAGGATCGATTATTGATGACTCAGATAAGCAACTGCAATATGTTTCTGACCTAGGCAATGACGTCATTAGTTATAATTAACTATAATTATGCCCATCTAATCTTTACTATAATATCTAAAATTATTAAAAGAGCCGATTTTTAATCAGCTCGCCCAAAATCTAATTTATTTATTTTTTTTAATCGAACACTAGGCCCCTCGTGATGATGCACAGAGCCGCTGATCATTGAGGCTGACCCAGACTTTAAAATAGCACATGCGCATGTTCTATAATCCGTAAGATTGATTATGAATAATTCATGAGATTTTATCAAACTAATTCCTCCATAATTAAAACAGGGCCAAATAATTGAGAACGTAAAATAATGACTCAATGACTTAAGAATTAAGTATTGTCTATTATTAAATCTGTTAGGCCTAGACACAAACTGCGTTCTAGAATTCAGATGAATCTACGTGACGTCATTACGTTACCTTATCGCCGTCGTGCAATCACAAGCTCCGTATTCCTACTTGTTAAAACATCAATAACCAACTACGGTATAACAAGGGAGCAGTCTTAACGGCCCCGTAATGTCAGTAAAACAGTGGACCTATAAAAAAATAACCAGGTAATTTTTTAAAGGGTATTGACAAACTGCGAGTCAGCAAGGCATGCGATTCATGCAAGCCATCTACCCCCATGACTACGTCACCGCAATTCATGCGAGGCAGGACGAAGTTTGACTGCAATAGTGTACCAAAAGTGCGAGGCATCTTAAAGCACGCTAAAACTCCGTAAAAGTTACAATGACAATATTTTAATATAGATTATGATGTTCATATGATCTTCTCATCGAGTACTACTAAAATCAAACGATTTCCTTCTATCAAAAAGTGACTTAGGTCAAGCCAGCCCCCGACCCAGCTCGGCCATATCCCTGGCCTTTAGTAGGAATCGCAGCGGAGGCACCCTTGCCAGCGATGAAACTGATTCAACCATACATGGACTGGAGAGGGCGACCGATGAGAGGAGCGTTCAATTCTAAATAGACAAATCGTACAACCTGCATGTTTGAATACGGTAATGATAATTGATATTATTGATCTTAGACGTATTATGATAGATTAATAAATAAATAATAAATGAATAGAATATAAATAGTACTTTTTTTTAATTCAAGAAAAATATGTTTATATTTCATCCTTTGTTTAATTATGAAAAAAAAAAGGAAAATGTAATGATTATTTTTTAATTGTATTTTCTAATTATACGTCTATGTATAAAATATTTTGTTTACAATCTAAGCAAATATGAATTTAAAGTATGAAGCTCTTTAAAAAAGTATGAAAGGTACAGTATAGTTACTGGATAAGATAAGGGCAGGCATAACTTGTTTAATTTTTTATTGTGGTATACATGTAAAAATTGTTAAGGCAGTTAAGAATGGGGCAGACGACGAATGGGTCCGGTCCAACAGGTTTCGCTCTCTATTAACATCGTACTGAGCAATGTCAAATAAACACACTACAGCATTGTAGGTAAATTACGCATTTTTTGGGAATTCTCTCCCAGTTCAAAGAAATAGTGTTTCATTTAGGACGAATTAACATTTACTATCAGCTTAAACTAACCAACTATTGAATGTCAATTATGAATGTTATATTTTTACCAAATATTTTGTATTTTTAAATGTTTCTTGAATCTTGAATCTTGCTCTATGGTTTGTGTCTCAATAACATACTTCTGCCTATAAAATTGTAAGAAGGAATGATGACCTCATTACTGCGTCAACCCGGATGCATTTTTAATGAAACATTAGTGGATCAAGGTCTCCGAATACTAGGAAATTATATGGTTTTGCAAATCCTAATTCTAAATATTTAGGTTTCTCAGAAAATATTAACCAATATTGTAACCAATCAATCATTACTAAACCTGCCTATTGGAATTAGGCATACCCCTACTGTTTAAGCTATACAAATCTCACATAGGCTAGGATTACTATTATTTATTACCTGGTTATATTGCATCATAATTTATTAATTAAATTTATGAATTAACTCATCCCTTGTATACCCTTACTTATTTGCACCGAATAGGCATGCTTAGTTTAAAATGTATTGTGAATAGATTTTTAAGTAATTAAATATATGCTGGGTTTTACATTTTAATAACATCAGACCCCGTATTCTCATTGTACGCTTAAACCGTCGTACTCCGTGTTTACTGTATCCAAAAGTCAGTAATTAATACTGGAATTAGGCCTAGGCATTATGAAAATTGTTCAGACTTTGGATAAAGTCAATTATTGTTCATCGTATGTAATTCATATCGCAATGCGAAATCGAAATTTATTGAATCATGAAGCAATATATTTACTCTTTGCTATGTCAACTAAATACAAAAATGAAGAATCAGTGTCATCATTTTCAAATTGTTGAATTTTCGATTTGTGTCTTCTATTGTACAATAGGAATATGAAGTATGAATTATGAGAAAACAAAACAGCAATAACCAAACCATAATAATCGCGACAAGATAGGTTATGATCAAATCGTACCTTGAAATGAAAAGGTTTAAGTGATTTTACATAAATCTAAATCTTAATCCATAGTTTGGTGTTAAGAAATTTTCAGGAAAAGGTTCGGTAGAGCTTAAATCATTTCTATAAGAGTATCTATAAATGCTTGAATAAATTATCTGTAAAATATAGGCATTCTTTTTGTAACTTCCGTGTAGTCATGGAAACGCTCAGTGTTGTAATGATGTATTGACTTCTCGAACGGGCTGTTTGAACAGTAAGAATTGATTTATCATAATGGAAAAAAAAAATTATGTTAAGATTTTGGTGCCATTATTAATATCATTAATAATAGGTTGTGAATTGTGCCTTTTACCCAAGTTTTCTTACCATAACGCATCTTAGTACACTGACCATGATAGGCCTACACTCCTACCACAGCTTCCGGTATTTTTCTTTCAGAGCTTTAATCTTGACATTGTACTCGTTGAATGAATGCTAAGTTGTTCGAGTGGCTTAATCTTAATTCCCGGTTCGGCATTAAATACCGTTCATAGTAAATAAGTTTGTATATAGAGGAATTCAAATGTTTAATTGGTCACTAGTTATCCAGACGGACACAGAGCACATCTCAACTTTTCACTCTGACCTTCTAAGTTGTATACATATCTTGTTTGCTTGCTTTGATATTTCTCAGAAAATCGTTGTGTTGGGCCAATAAAATACTATTATACATACTGTATAGGCAATTTGCGTTAATATCGTGGTGTTTTTTTCAACAAAAAAACGTTGTTTTTAGCCTGATATCCGTTCCAAATAACTATGATATTAAAAGTTCTTGTATTTGCTGTAATTATGGTCCACGGAACTGATGCAACTTGCTGTTGTTCTGGTGGTGCCTCGATTTTTCCGAGAATCGAATTAACTCCTGAGCAACAGCAGACACTGTTAAATTTAGCTGACTATTTGGAGTTGCTACCTTGTGAAGAACGAACGGAAAAGATATACAACATGACTGAGTCCCCGATAGAGTTGACGGACGCACAGCTAATTGGTATAGCACAACGCTATAGTGGAAGTTTCCAAGACCCTTCGGACCCAGTAGATTGCGAGGATGAACGGTGAGTAAATCCTTTTTAAATTTATAATATACATTTGTTTAAAATCTATAGGAACTTTGAAGTTGAATATCTCCGCTACTGCTGCTTTTTCACAGCATATACGGCACCAGTTTTAGTCCGGGCCCTTTGAGAAGATGTAGCTCAGTTTTGGTAGTAGAGCATTATGATACCTGTTCGTCTGCAGAGGCTTACACTATTTTCATTATTCTAAATTCTTCATTATAATCATTCATTTATCCATGAGCTTGCTCATGTTATTAGATAATGTGTGTCCAGTGGAAAAATATGCCAATTTAAGGGTTTCAAAGGCTTATTTAATCGATTTTAGAGTCTACTAATGTGTACAAAATCATATAAATTTGTTTTCTCCCCGAGAAATTGTAGTTTTTCTCCCCGACCGGGGGGGGGGGTTGGGTTGAGCAGTTCTCTCCGACAGCACCCCAGCCCCCCCCCCCCCCCGCCACTCCAAACACTTTTGAAAGGCAAAGTACTTCCCCTAGTTTCAACTACCCATGCCTATGTTAAAAGCCAATGCAGATAAACATTTGATTTTATTTTACATTTTGTATGTATATGCACAGGTTTTTCGAATCATCAGTCCCTATGCTTCCACAAAGAAAACGTCGAGCGGTCGGTACTAGTGTTTGTCCCGCAGTCGAGGAAGTAAACCAAAAACTCTTTTTAGCCTACAGCAAAAGTGGTGGACTCGTATACGTAGCACAGGTCAGTATCAACCTGTTCTACTGTAATTCATACTTCAACATGGTCAAACCTAACAACTGGCCAATCAGAACATGTCATTGCTAAAGTCGGTAATACGCACATGTCACACAAGCACGCAAGTTCACATACGCTGTGAGCTGAGCGGTTGGCCCAGAGGTATTCTGTTCCTGCTTCTTGTAGTGAAGACCCCGGTTCAAACCCAGCCAGCATTGGGTTTTATTTGGAGTCTGATGATCGATTTCTTCCTCGAATAACCCTCATAATTGAGAGTTAGGCGAGTTAAGGACAATGTTTGTATCCGTCCGTTGTATGTTGTAGTTAAGCTGGGAGGCCCTGCACTACGGCTGTTGTGGGTCCACTGGGGCCCAGCCCGAATTTCCAATTTCCAATTTGAATGAGAACCAATGTTTTTTTTAATGTCATATCAGATACACAGTTTCAAAAATATTTGTTCCCTAAAATTTTGAGATACTGTAACAATTATATCTTTAATCGCACGTAAATTGTTAATTCAAACACTATCAAAGTTTTCTATTGATTCTTTCTTAGCCCTCCGTCAACAATGGATTCCAACAGTCCCAATATGTTTACGAGACGATTTGTTCAACTGAAGTATGCGACAGCCCTTCGTGTGCATGTTCTACTGTCCTCATTCCATCAGGAAAATCAGTCGTAAATGTGATCAGAGGTGGTGTAGCTACCTTCACAGAAGAAATAGTGATGACGCGTGCATGTCGTGCGTTTAGTCCATAAAAAAGGACGCTAAATCAAGATTGCATTCAGTGTGAAGAATATTTTTTATATATGTATATAATATTAGGTTTAGGTGTGATATAATCCAGCCTAAAATCGATTATTTATCTAATTTTTATTTGTGTTTTGCAAACATAATATAAATTATTTTTACTATGATTTTCTAACTGCGACCTAAGTTAGTTCCAAGCTTAAACATACCTCCACTATATGTGAGCACAAAATTAATTTGTATGAGAATGTGTCTAGTGCTAGATCTCCGCCATTCATATAGCTCTACGTAATCTACTAATATGACACTTGAAGAAAGAGGTTGCAGATTCCATTTCCATTCCCGCTAGAAATTATTTTTATATACCGTAACTGATGCTTGGTACGGCTATAACAATAATAGTAAGAGTTGACGTCAAAATAATGATATATATATATATTTAAAATGTATCTTAGGTGCTTTCAATGACAAGCGTATTGTTTCCCTATAACTTTTTTTCTTACTAGAGAAATATTCTTTGTCAACCAAACTGTTATATATTTTTCGAAAGCGATGTTACCTTAAACAATTCGGTGTTTAACATCTCATTCACTCTATCTAGCTTTATGTATGTTCCAAATAAGTATATCATATGAGTCAAGTACGAAAATAAATGTAAGTGGTAACGTGTTACCGAACATAAAAAAATATTATTATATTGTTTTTATAAAATATTTATCTTGATGGTTTATGTTTATGTCATTATTTATTAATGACTGTCATTTCATCAATTATCCACAACTGCATAATTATACTACCGTAATGGAGGAAGATATTGATAATTGACCAATGAAAAGCCTTTCTGTGACTTTGCATTGAACACACCAATTTTATCTTACACTGCCCTTCTTTCGGTTGAAAAACGATCGACTGTATTGCGTGACGAGAAATAATAATCCAATACAGAGGATATCTTAGCTTAACAGATGAGCACTTATTATTGTGGATAAGTTAAGTGAATACTCCTAATCCAGAGAGAATATTTCCAAAACTAACCTTTTGCAGGTTAATCAAAAATTATTATTATAAACAATTTTGAAAATGTTAAAACCTTTAAACCTGTGCAAATTTGTTCTCTGTCCATTATGGTCATTTAATCTGAAATCTTGGTGCAAGCTTAGGCCTACTAAATCTTTATTGGCGCCTAGCAAAGTAAAGAAAGAATTTTATTATTGATGTTAAAATATGTTAGAAAGAAAATATTTTTATGAAACAAACTAGTACCGTCTTAATAGTGTTTTAAAATATAATGCGTATATAATTTACTTTGGATTCCTTTTAAAGAATGGTATTTTTTTTTCATTATTATTATTAATATTAAATTTTGCGTATATCAACTTGGTATTACCACTTAGGTTACAATATGACAGTCATAAGCGTTTTAACAGTATGCTAACTGTAGACTAAATTAAGTGTGAAGTATTTAATAATAATTTGAGTAAATAAAGAGAAGAAAAGGGGCCTGTGAAATAGTAATACCTGTCTCTTATACACATCTAGATGTGTATAAGAGACAGGGACACCGTTTTTTAATATTCAGTATATTTCCCGCACGATTAAAATCGTCCACAGGAGCTCGTGCTTCGTACAGTCATTCCATTCATAGAAAAAGCCTTTTCATTGGAGAAAGCGTACCTGTCGTTAGCCATAGTAGCCTAGGTCAATACTAGCTCAGGCTACGTAAAATTGATTATAAGATTAAAAAATATTAATATTATTATTGTAGTACTGACACTATGTCCACGTTTTAATTATTGTTTTTATTCGTTAACGTTATTATATATTATTTATATTTAAATTTAATGTATTGTGCAAGTATGAATTACTTAATTTTATCTATTCAAATTGTATATTTAAATAACATAGTAATAGGCGTAGCCGAGGCCTAGCCTAGGCCTAAACTTAGTGACTATGTGTGTAGTGAATAAAATTATGAATAAAAAGTATGTATGAATTCAAATTGTGAAAGAATGCAAGAAGGAAGAATAGGAAAGAGATTTGGAACGGCTGAAATATTTTCCGAAAATATACAATAGTAGTCAATATGCCATTATTGCATTACGTTTTTGTAAACATTCTTGGGCACTAATCATCAGAGGTCTCCGTGCTACAGCCTAAACTTTACATAATTCGACATCGATTTTAATCGTGCGGGAAATATACTCAAGATATAAATAAGCTAAATATTTAAAAATGTTAAATACAGAACCTTATGGTTTGGTCTTTCTTTGTTTTTTCAGTGGCAGATTCATGGGGTTTGCAAAGTATATAATCTCACCTTCTCGGCAACAGCCCAATAAAAAGTGAATTAGATATGATCAT